GACCACGCTCGATGTAGAGCTGGAGATGCACAGCCAGGAGGGAGGAGGAGCTGGGAGAAGGCTGGTACTCACAAATGCTTCCTCCTCTCCACAAGGAACAAGGAACAAGTTTAACACCAGGTGGCTCTGGGGTAGGCTGCTCACACCCACTAGCCACTCCTAAGGAGAAAGATGAGGCTGTCTGCAACCAGTCAAGATGTGCAGCCTTGGACACCCTAGAGAGGGTCACTACGAGTCAGGATCAACTGGATTACAGTGGCTTGGTTTGGGGTTTGAGTTTATTATTATTGATTATTCTTAGCAAACAGGGCCTCTGCACTCTAATCTGGGGCAAAGAGAGGGTCGCTGAGACTCCCTGCCAATCTTTCCCCACCTCATGATTGAGCCTTGTGCCGGGACATAACTGCTCCTGGATGCTATGTCCAGGAAGTGGCCATTATAAATACTTACCCCAGTGGAGCGGGGGGAAAAAAATACTGTGTCATGGTTCACTTGACAAACGGCTCTTTGGAATGGTCAAGGCCTGTGACTGTAAACACTTGGCCGTGAACGCTGAGCAAGTTGGCAGAGATTTTTTAGAACGGCCCTAGGGAGGAGTACACATGCTTTTCATACGTGCTTGTGGTGGAAAATGGACAGAGTATGATTGCTAGACACCTCATTCTGTGTACAACCAAAGGACTGGAAGGTGGCCTGTCCTTCACGCCTGCTAAGCACAGACCCAGCATGCTAAGCACAGACCCAACTAAGCCCGCCCTGATTGATGGCAATGACTTTGAAATCAGCCCAAGAAAACAAGGTAGCAGAACAGAGTTCACATAACTGTTGTCTGGGTGAAAAAACAAAGGTGGATTCTCCTCCATGCCGTCTGCACATTATTGCACCTGGGATCTTAGAGGTAGAGTCGTGAGTTCCAGGGAGGATGGGTATGTGCTGGGAATAAGACCTACAGTCAGCATGGTGGTACAGTTCTCTACTGGCAATCCCCCACAGCCACACTGGGGTTTGTAATAAAGAGCTATCTGACTAAACAGAGAAAGGAATCCATGTAGGGAAGTATATCTTAGTTGCCTCTTTTTTTTAGTGATATTTTTACTATTTTGTTTCTTTTTCTTCACCATGTTCTAACAAGTTTCCTTTTTTAAAAATCATTTTGTTGACATGCAATGGTTTAAACATATTTAAAAAACAGTTGTGCGATCACCACCACAATCAATTTTACAGCATTTTCTTCATTCTTGGGTCTACTATTACTGTTAGATCTCTCGGGATAGAGATATACCTTGGTCCTTGGCTCCGCGCAAGAAAGAATTCACGCCGAAGTCTGGTTTGAGAATAGAACATGAAATATTCTGAGCTGCTGATAAAGGAGTCTTGGTGGAGTAGTGGGGCACCCACTGGGCTCCTAACCTGAAGGTCAGCAGTTCAGAACCACCAGGTGCTCTGCAGGAGAACGTTGACACTTTCAACTCCCTGAAGACTGACAGTCTCAGAACCCCAAAGGAGTCATTCTAGCCCGTCCTAGAGGCTCACTGTGAGTGGGAATCACCTCAATGGCAGGGAGTTTGGGATTTGAATTGCTTATAGGTATTCTGATAACCACTATTTAAAATAACCCATAATCTTGCATGATGAAACGGATGAGAACTATTCACAACTCACACCATCTATTTCAAACAGACCCCAGGCCTCCCTGTGCTCAACTCTGATACCTTTCTGTGGGGGAAGGGCCAGCCCCGCCCCACTAATCATGGGTTCAGTAAGCGCAATTGTACAGTTGAGATATATAGATATTATATTAAAGCCATAGAGAGTATGAAAGATAAAAGATTGAAATAATGGAGTCAGACATATTTTATGGTAGCATGCTCACCTCAGCCCTGCTTGGTGGTCCACGTGGAGATGGGAGACCAGAATGCAGGAGAGAGGGGGAGGGGAGGAGGACAAGGGGAAAGGGAACAGGGGAGAGAGGACCAGAGAGGAGAGGAAGAACCGACAAAGAACCATGAGAGGCCAAGAGGGCTTGTTTATTGCTAACCAAGGCCTATAGATCTTTGGGGGGCATGTAAGCCCACTAATTACAGGTAAAGACAGGTTGCACTATAGGTTATACAGCAACGAGAGGGGGACAATCTAGGGATATACACGCAATACAAAGAGAAGGGATTGGGGGTATCCATGTGACAAGATGGGAGGATCCCAGATTCAGGATGGCAGCCTAACTTTGGATGTCACTGAGCAGGTTTGCCCAGCTCTCTGGATCACCACAGAAACCATTATCAGTAGGGTGTAAACACTACCTACAGGGACCAGACTAATGGTCAAGAGCCTTTAGGGAGAAGTAGCCCATTGTCCTTAACAGCAGGGAGTGGGCTCTACCTGTGGTGGGACCAGACAATAGACTAGCAACTGACTGCCTTTACCATTAGCTGCAAGCAGTGTCCTAAGTCTAACATATATTTGGGGGAGACGACTTGGGAGAAATCTTTCTGTTTCCCACACACTTCTCTCACAGCAGCTGCCAGAGCTCTGCAGATCTTGGAGAGTGGATCTAAGTCAGGGAGAGAATGACACAGATTCCCATGGTACAAAGGGTTATTTATTAACAATTCAAGGCAAAAGGAAATACCTTCACAAATAATAAAAGAGAAGTGAAAGGAAATATCTATGTAAATAATGCTGTCTGTGGGGCTGTCAGACAGTGGGCTGGAAGCTTCTCCGGACTCTCATGGATGCACAGGCATCCCGTCAGGCAGCAGGCTGCTGGCTCACATCCCACAAACCAGAGGTCAGAGGTGATGAGAGGAATGCAAAGTCCAGAGAGTGTGAACTTCCTGCCAGAGTATTTTTACATATTTAATGCAGGCCTCACCCCCAAGGAAAGACCCTGTCCAACTGATGGGCTGCTCACATCATTACAAGTGGAGGATGGCCACCTACTATCTGCAAACCACTGGGAATCCTGACCGAGCTGAGCTGACACACAACGCATAGCATCACGGGAGATTCCTGAGAGAATTCTCAGCTGAGAGAGAGACAGAAGGATCATTAAAGGGACAACAAGGATGGCACTGGCCATGCAGGCAGAGAAACAACAAAAGGCGTGTTGGAAAGCCTGCGACAAGAAAAAAAAGTGACACGTTTGGTTTCAAGAAAGCAAGGAGCACGGTGGGAGGCACAGCTGCAGACAGCTGGAATCTTCATGATGCAGACTTTTTCAGTTCATGTTAAGGATTTTCTACATGACCTTAAAAAGCAATGGGATGAGCCAACCCACCTTTTGTGCCTGGCAACAGGAAAGGTGAAGTGCTCAGCTTCACCTATGAAGCATCTTTGCCAAAGCAACGGAGCCAAGATCTAGTCCAGCCTTTAAAGCTAACTTGGTTTTTAGGGAATGTGGGAAAAAAGGATCAAATTAAATAACACCACAAGGGAACCGTCTGACTAGATTGCGGGTAACGGAAAAGTTATTCCCCAGGATGTCCCCACGTAACATATGCTAAACTTAAGGTGCTGACTAAATACATGGAGGTCAACTGCTTAAAGGTTATCTGCCTAAAGGTTATCCGCTGTCTGGAGCAATCAGACCCTATAGTCCAGAGGTTCTCAAACTACCGCCCGCGCAGGCCACATGTGGCCCGCCAGGTGTCTTTGCCTCATTTTATTACTTCAAAATAAGAGATGTGCAGTATGCATAGGAATTTGTTCATAGTTTTTTTTAAAACTATAGTCCGGCCCTCCAACGGGTCTTAGGGACAGTGAACTGGCTCCCTGTTTAAAAAGTTTGAGGACCCCTGCGTAGTCTGTCCCACCCCTAGGAGAGTCCACTCCCTTCTGATAAAGATAATGGATGGTTCCCCTGTAGAAGGGCCCAAAGACCTAAGGTCAAGCCAACTCAGGGATGACCAAGGCTAGACTGCCATCTTGCCTTTAAAGCCACCCATCTTGTTACCTGCATGCCTTCCAATCACATGCTTGCCTCTAGTCTAGTGTCCCCCTTCCTATTGTGTGTATACCCCTAGTTCATCCCCTTCCTGTCACACATATGCCTGTTTTACAACTCCTTCCTGTTAGGCGTGTGGGTACCTATAATTAGGGGGGCTTGCAACGCCCCCTCTGAGTACATATAAGCATTGGTTGGAAATCTATTCTCTCTCTGCTTGGATCTGGCTGCTGAAGTCATGGCTGTCAAGTTTAACTCTCCTCAGGAAAGCTGCCGAAGGCGACGAATGCTAACTCAAAAGGGTAATGGGTGGAGGGGGAAAAGTTTTTATTTCTGACCTTCGCATTAGTTATTATTTGGGGGGGGGGGAGGTGAAGGGTGAACACTGGCCTTGGGACCCCTGCTCCTTTGGGGCCTTTATAACAGACAGGAGGCAGCTGGAAACCGTCTGTGGAAGACGAGAATGAAGTAGGTGCTTACATCTGGAAAGAGCTGGGAACAGCAGCTCTTGATGCAACCGTTGATTTTGCCTTAGTTTTGAAATACGGGTTTTTGGTAGCTGGGCACCATCAGCTTTCTTCAGACTTGAAGGTAAACAAGCAACCAAATAGCTCAGAAGCAACAAAGCCCACATGGAAGACGCACACCAGCCTGTGTGATCATGAGATGTGGATGGGATCAGGCTAGTTTGCTAGTGTTGAGTTGATAATTTGGGATAAATATGATTATGCTTATAAACAGTTTAAGAACATTAGAGATAACTGGGCTCACTCTAGCTTATTAGAGTTAAAAGACTTGCTCAAGAGGTTGGGAAGGCTTGAAGCATAAAGGGTGGGCTAACCTACCACCCAGTCTTCCTGGGCTCTGGCCGTCAAACGGAATCACCCTCGCGGAAGACATGTGGACACCCTCCTGGGCCCTTATCTAGAAATGCCTGCACTGAGTTTCAGACAAACTTGTTGTATCATGGCCATTTCAAAAAAGAAGACGAACTTATATAAAATACCAGGGGAGAGGGGGAATCCAAGTGTCATCCTAACAAGCAAACTGCGACTTGTTCCTGAAAGCTTCAAGCTCCATTTATTTACCAATTAGTTTTGCCAAGAACAGTTGCAGAAGCAACAGACTGAAATGTTGTGCAAGCTCCCCCCACCGGCCACAGCCGGGAACTACCACAAGACGTGTTCCATTAAGTTGACTGTATCGTCCTCGGCAGAAATTTCCGTGACTCCAGCCTGAGCCCGAAGAATGGACATGATGTCATCTGACAGCTTGCCGAAGCCGTGCTGAGAACATAGACCTGCCAATTCTTGCCATCTTTCCAGGGAGCCCAGCGGGTTGCTTAGCACAAGATGTTCCACTGCATCTGAGGGGAAATACAGTGTGAACAGCAGGGCACTGGTGTGATAATTCAGTGGCATTCAGTGAGTGGCCCTGCCTTAGGAGGCAGGTTGTGTAGCTGCTGTCAGGTGCCATCAAGTCGGTTCCGACCCACAGCGACCCTGTGTACCACAGAACAAAGCACTGTCCGGCCCGCACCATCCTCACAACTGTTCCCATGTCAAGTTAGCTACGATTCAACTATGAAGCGTCATTTCGGGTAGTTCCTACTAAAACGCCACCTGATTCCCATAAGTTTAAGGATATAACACGGGAGCACTTGGTCTGGCTCAGTTCAGCCTCTAGCATTTCGCACATTCCCCTCTCACGTCCGCCTTGGTCACGCAGCAGATGCTGAAGGCTGTGAGACAAGGAAACCAGAGGGCGAGCGGGGGCCCAGCCTTCTTCCGAGTCTACCAGGCACTTGGAACTATCGAATAACGGAGGGTCGGTTGTTCTGGGTCCCACGATCCTTCTAAGCCACATGAAAGCCCTGGTCATGCTGACCCGAGTTCAGGAAACTCCCCGAATGCAAACATCATATTGATGAGGCTTCAATAATCAGTGTTTTTCTAAAGGAAGTAAAAGAAGATTTCTTTTGCTAGCTTCTTATTTCCAATAGAAAAGTATTTGCGATATTAGTTATAGAACTCTGGTGACAAAGTGGTAAAAGCAACCGGCAGCCGCGAAGCAAGAAATCAGTCGTCCTAACCCACCCACCAGCGACTCGAGGCAAAAGCGGGAGACCTGCCTCCATCCCACAGACAGCCCTGAAAACGCAGCAACCGCGACAGCACACAGCAACAGCAGCAACAGCAGCTTGCTTGGCAAAATCAACTGTCCACCGTGACGCTGGACTGCCTCTAGCTGCAGTGAACTGTCCACCATGACTCTGGAATACCTCTAGCTGCAGTGAACTGTCCACCATGACTCTGGACTGCCTCTAGCTGCAGTGAACTGTCCACCGTGAC